TAACAGTGGATTGTGATTGGATTTCAATTCTGTTAAAAACCATGATTGAATAACACCCCCTAAATTTTCTAGGTTTTATAGTCTTCTAGATTTAAAAGTTTATATCATTTTTATGGATTCGTTTGTTTAGATTTTAAAATCTCTACAATATACATTGGATTTTGATTCTAATAATTTACTCATAAAACTCTATTAATATTGATTTGAAATGACGTAATATACAAAGATTTTAAAAGTCATTTAATTTTGAATGACACTGGATTTTAATGAAAGATTTGAAATCTTCATTGAATAACACCAAATTTTAAAATCTTTTAAATATGATATTTACAATCAAAAGATCCAATACCACTGGATTTTAAAACATCATTTATAATTATTAGTTGAATAACAGTTGATTATGGTTGAATTTAAATTCTATAAAAAACCATGACTGAATAACACCCCCAAAATCAAATGTGTATTGCAGAGATTTTAGAATCTAAACAAATGAATCCTTAAAACTGATATCAAATTTTAAATCTAGAAGATTATAAAACCTCAAAAAGTTATTTTAAATTCATGATTGAATAACACCCCTTTAGGCTATTTAAGGCAACTTACCTAAAACAAAGAGGAGAGTTTGGTTTGAGAGTCCAATGATCCTATAATGGATGAAAACTTATTTGGATTCCCCATTTGAGAGCACAATCAATGTGGATAGCATGGATGAAGACTAAATATATCCACAATCAAAGCATGTAAGAGAACAACTCACAATTGAGCCTTTCACAAACTTCTAAAATTTGGGCTTCAAGCACATATCACTTTTATATCCCGGGTAATGGATCTTCTATCTCATTTTGGTTGATTCTTGTAACACATTAGGCACCCTGATCTCTCTTTATAGCCCATTAAAGCCTTCTAACTCTTTGGAGAAACATTGATATAAATATCAGAGTCTCATTGGTAGAGAAGGGTCCTGCCATAAATTTTTAATTAACAGATTATCAATTTCAATATTGGTAGGCACTTCTCTCATGTGTTGATCTACATAAGAGATCTGATCAATGGACAAATGAACAAGATAGAAAATGGTTGTTTAACTCCAAATCTTTCGATAAAGCTTTTTGCTTTTGTTGTTAGTTATTTAGACATGACAAAAAGGCTATCTAATTAGTGACTACGGGGTACAGATATTGGTAAAAATATTCGACAAGGCTCAGAGAACATGAAGATAGTCATGATCACATTATATTTACGACTCGTTGGATAGATATAGAAATCAGACTACAAAAAAAACTCAAACAATTAATAAGCATGTTCAAAAAAAGATTAAAAAGAAGTAAAATAATTGGAGCGAAGTATTATTGAGAATTTGCAATGCATGGTGAAGATGCTTGCAAAAAAAAATATATATAGTATTTTGTGGAGACAATAAGAAAAAGGTTAGTTAAGTGAATAACCAAAATCCAATCATGGATGAAAAAAAATAGCCATGGATATCGAATAATTAAGCAAGTAACAATGTCGAGATTTTTTGGACGAAAATACCCTTACAGATAAGAGCGGCAAGTTGTTGATTGGAGAGAGAAATTTTTTTCCAAATGCGCTATACGCGTTGCCTACTACCATGCTGTGTCAATATAGACATTTTAATCACTAACATAACATAGACATATTATTTAACTTTTGAAAAATTAATTTCCCTCCAATTGATTATGTGGACGAAATAAAAAATAAAATTAGTAGTATAACTTATAGTATTCTATATGACATGAAATATAGTTAATAGTTTGTCTAAAGTTTATTTTATCCTATATTATATATACTAACATCAAATTCATAGACTAGTTTATAGTATTCTATATGCCGTAAACTATATTATATAGTGTGTTTGTCTAATATAACTTATTTTTATATAGGTGTTACTAAAAAAACACTTAAGCTGAAGTGTATCAAAATCAGAAATAATAAGTTAAACCAAACTTTATTATCTAAAAGTAAAATTTAATATGCGCCCAAATAGTTTAACTACTAAAGAAAATTACAAAATAAAAAGTCTGAAGAGTTGTAGACCGACTATTCTACTATGATGATTGAAGAGGAGTAAACAGTTTGCATGCTTCAATTGTAACAAGTCTGCATGCTCGCATTCAGTGTTGGCAATGAAGTTCCATTAGTATTAGTAACGCAACTGCAGAAAGAGCTATGACAACATCCAATTTTGAAATGTCTTATAAAGGAAGAAAATACGAACATATCAAAAGTTATAGGAATCATATGCTTCCTGAGTTGTTCAAACATAATGGAAGGTGTGAACGTGATAGATGCATGATAGTCAGTGGAACCCCTGGACCTATGTCTAAGTTGGCATGCTTGTGAATCAGATAAGGCAACATCGTTGCAATGGCTGAAAATAGTTGTTCAAATTTATCACAGAAATGCATACAGTGTTACAGTCACCGACATATATTGCCCAATTCGCTAAGTCAACAATAACGGCCACCCTGTGCTGCTGAAGAAAACAAGAGGAAGAAATGAATTTATGTAGACATTTTATGTACAATAACAACATATAGTCAAACTATGTACAAATATTTTATACACATATAGTCAATCTATAAAAAAAACTAACAATAAAAGATGGACTTTGACAGATCTATGTCCAATAAGCACATATAGTCACTCTATAACCCAAAATTATCCATGATTTTAGTCTCGAAAACCCATAACCCAAAATCATAATTATATCTTCATATGCCTTTCTGCGACATCATCCAAGGATAACTAAATTGAAACCCAAACCCAGGATTATGATATCGTCGAGGAGATCCAAATCGAAACCCAAACCCAGAACCAGCGATATTGTTGAGGAAATCGAAATTCAAACTCTATCTTCCTCAGCATTTCTCCATTTTTCAATCTTAATGTGCTTGCTATAAATCTAAACCCAAAATAGAATAACATACAACGATAGGTTCGCCGGCTATTTACTCTTCACCGGCTCTTCACTCTTCCCAATTAATCTGCTACCCTTCTCACTTCAGAAATCAAACTTTTTCACTTGCTCTTTTTTGGCATTTCCTCGGATTTAAATGTTCTTTCTCCTCCACTATTTTTAACTGGTTTTTGCAGAACCGATTTTTGTGGATGGGTTAAATCTAACATTTACAATCTAGTTTTGCGGTTTTCAAATAAATGTTTTATTTCCGCGAGTAGAGATGATACAAGGGTATTCTTGTCTAAATTATAAATTATACAGAGAATATAGTAACCATTGTTTTCATATGGTTATTCTCTTAATTATTGAATTATTATTAGTTATACAATGCAATTTCCCATGAGAAAATTGGGGAAGAAAATAATAAGAATTTCTTGAGTTCTATTGAAATGATTGCAGACTTTGATCCAGTTATGAGAGAGCTTGTTAGGGAATTGATAAAGGAGAAATATATACTCATTATCTTACTCAATACAGAATGAGTTAGATAGAATTGTTGGCCAATGATATTTAAGATTATAAAAAAGATTAAGACATCCAAGTACTTTTCAGTGATTCTTGATTGTACTCCAGATATCAAGAGAACAAATGACATTGATTATATACGATGTGTGAATGTCTCTCCAAAGCCAACTAAGGTTGAATAATTTTTTTTGATAGACTTGAAAGTAGATGACAAATCTGGAGAAGGGCTTTTCTCTGCCTTTCAGGATGCATTGACTGATTTGGAGTTGGACACTGATTATGTGAGAGGTAGTTATCACAATGGATCTGGTATGAAAGGAACAAATAAGTGGGTTGATGTATCACTTGGTCTTGACGTAGTTGATGTACGAGGAGACCCGTATGTTTTTAAATAATAAGAAATAAAAGTAACGCTATGTTCTAAGGCTGCTTGTTGCAGAATCCTTCATCACTCAAGCTGAACCATTTGACCAACATTCCTTAGTTAAATATGATACTTTCTTGTGGTTTATTTCTATCACATTAGTTTTCTCATTTATTCATAGTAGGTGACAAAGATTCGTTTAATAACTTTTTTTTTTGTAATTTGCTTAACAGTATTCTACACTTCATCACACAGGAAACTTAACCAGAAAACCCACACACTTTGTAATTTTGTATAACTTCAAAAGCTTGACGAAGAGACATAGAAACACGATGTATTTGGTGAGTGTTAAGTAGATTAAGGAATGGTAGTTTCTGGAGGACGTCTGCATGGTCCTCGTCGCATCATGTAGTTCGAAGGCAATATTGCTGCTGGAGAAGCTCCACATGAATTTGAGTGTGGTGTCTTTCGAAGCGTTTTGAAGCCTAAAACAATTTAGGCAAAAATATGGCTCTTGTTATAAGAATATAAATTTTAAAGACAGTCATAAAATTTTCTCGAACTATACAAAAAAATGATAGTATAAAAATTTTAGAACGAAGACATGTTACAAAATGGTTTCTGCTAACAGACACTACATTGCCATCCGAATTCAAACCAAGATAATGCATATATTTTAATACTCGTGTACATTGACGGTTGTGTACGCCTCCCAGCTGCTGCATACGTTAGAAACCTCGATGCTGCTATATTAACATTCAAATTAACTAGCTAGAAAGATGTTTTATTTATTTAGGTGGAGAAACAGATTTCAAGTTCAGTTTGTTAGTGTTGTGCTGACTGATTTGAGAAGCTGTCACAACAGAACGTGTTACAAATGCCAAGACAGTATGAATATGTGATTCAGATTCTGAGATATAATCGATATACAAGGTGTGTAGCAGTTCAGACAGAGACATGGGCAGAACTGACACAGTTACTAAGACAGTACGTGATGCAGGTGCTAGTGGAGCAGATGTGAAGATAGAGCTTTATGCGAATGATGATTAGTGATCAACACATGATGGAAATACATTATGGCAATCAAGAATATTGCAGTTGGATACATCACAAGATATATCAGACGTTGAGTCAGTCGATGTGCCAATCGATTGGCGTGGCGCAGAAGTTAATGTGGCAAGTGGTTTGCTGAGCGGGACAAAATCACTGGAACGTATATCTGGTGTAACAGATTTGGTAAGTAGATAAACTTGAGGAGCAAGTTGTATCTATCCAAATCACTTGAAGATCATAGGGTTTAGGGTCTGTATAAATACCAAGAGGCGGTCTCATAAAGACTTGATGCGCCTTGGGTATTACCGAGAGATGCACACAAGTGTGTGGCGTCGTCCCATCATACATGATTTTTAGATCTGTTGGTGATGGTTTATGGAGTAAAAGCACATCTGCGAGATGGTGTTTTGTATCGTTTGTAGCCAAGTGGTAGTCTTTGTAGAGATGCCGTGTCCACAGGTTCTCCTTCTAGAAAAGAGTGGTAGGCATTGTAGTGTTGGATACCACCGCAATTTGCAATTGCAATCTTGTTCTAGTGGATTTGTTCTGGACTAGGTCTCGGGGATGTAGGAAAACCGAACTTCGTTAAAAAATTCTGTGTGTTCTTTACTTTATGCTCTTTATGTTCATCGTCTCATCGTACATATATTAGAACACATAGGTCTAGCCACAAATATGGACTTTCACTGTTTATTAATAATTTTTACTTAATACTATGTCGGAATTTTAACAAAAGACCCCCTCAAACTATCACAAGTTCCACTTTAAAATTTTAAACTATCTTTTGTAGTGATCTTATTACTAATAAAAGTTGAAGCTAAATGCCTCTGTGTCCACATAGAACTAAAAAGACAATTCTATTACTCCACATTAACATTCAAAATTGAAAAAGTTTTTAAAAGTTAATATTACTATTAATAAAATATATATAAAAGAATAAGGAAATTATGTATAAAATTTCCATTAACAACAAAAAACTAAAATAATATTAAATTAAGAACATTTCTTAAACGAAATATCAATTTACTTAGATATAAAATAATATGCAATCAATTAAGAAAAGAAAGTAATTTTTAACATTGTTTTTCGGTTTTCTTATAAACTGATATAAAAAGAACAAATTGAAGATGATGAAAAATTTCTTATTTTTTTTCATTAGAGAAAAAACATATACTAATTTTTTCGTGTCAATATTATTTTTATTAAATATTAATTAATTATTTTATAATAGTTTTAGTTATTTTTTAGAATACTAACCTACAAGCATTAGAAGAATTTAAAAATATTTATACGAGTTGGAATTATAAAACAAATTAAAATAATATTAACTATAACATACCTATTAACATGTGGAGATAATTGGTGGTTAAACATAATTTAAAGGTGACAATAAGTTGTGAAATATATTTTAGTATATACCAAAAAAATAATTTAATAGTTTATTAAAGGGTAATTAAAAGCTATCAAGTATAATTTGTACTCATTAAAACAGTAAAATAAGGAGAATTTTTTTGTTTTTCTTGGTTGTCAATAAAAAATCATTTAGAAGTTATTACACACATTATGTTACTCGACAAAAGCTTGACATTTACCAATCTAAGATAAATTTGACAAAAATTTATACTGAATTCATCTATCTTTATTATATTGAAATTAATTTCAAATTTTTCTTTTATATTTATTTACTGTCATAGTTTAAAATATATAAAAGCAAAAATTGTGTTTATTAGTTTATTTTTAATTTAGAATAAATCAGAAATTTATATCGACTAAATTAGCTAAGGAAAGAGAATAATTTTTAATTTTATTATTTTTTCATAAAAAGCATATATAACAAAGATGCAATTGATGAAAAAACAAATATTTTCTTGACTAAAAAGTGATATGTAGTATTTTTTCTTCGTGTAATACTAATTATGTACTATTTAATTAGTTTGTTATATTTTAGGTTGGTTTAGGTATACAAATATTAAGCATTCAACAAAATAGTATGTTTTTAAAATGGCACATATATAGATTCAAACAAGATCGTTGAAACCTCAAAATCTATATATAAATTCTGTGATGAAAACTAAATTATTTTTAATAAATTTTATTACAACAAATTAAAATCTAAATAAATAAAAATGCTTAATTATGACTTTTATCAATATAATAGTATTAAAAAATTACCCATGCGTAGCGTAGATGCAAAATCTAATCTTCAACTAAAACTTCGTTAACAAAATTAGCTCATTGTCTACCATATGGCTTTTTTTTTTTTTTTAACATCGTCTACCATATGGCTAAAACTCTAAACAGCTGTCATAACTGAAAACTCTGCCTTTTTCATTAAACGACAGCCATTTAGGATTTCAATGGTACTATTATAGACGAAAGCTTATTTACTTCCATCAATAAAATTAAATTGAGGGATTACATAACTAAACATTTAGTTAAGGATCTGAAAACTAATCTGATGATAGTTAAGAGGTTTTTTTATCATTATAATCCTACATTGTGTCTATCTAGTAAAGACATTTACCAAGTTTGGGGCCTATAGATTCAAAAACTCCAACTTGAGAGGAGAAAGTGAAAATTATAAGCAGTGGTAACACAAGCGCAGCAACATTTGGCGGTGTCAAAGCCATTTTCTTTTTCGTTGTGTTTCTGGTCATTGCAAGTCTTGTGATGATATATAGAAGAAGCCGGCCTAACCTCATATTTTTTATTTGTTCTGGCGATAAACTTTCCTTCTTTTAAAAACTAGTACTAATTCCAAATATTGACAAGTAAACGCGGCTTCTACATTAGGTTAAAGATTCATTGTATGTAAAGTCATAAACTAAAAAGAAAAAAAAAGAATAGGTTACAGACGGAATGGTTAGAGATTTGAATTTAAGAAATACTAAATGTTTTGTCCCCTTTTGGAAAAAAACAAGTACACGACTTCTTTGCAGTTTCACATTAGTCGAGTATGGTATTAAAGTTGAGCTGACTAAGACAATCTCTGAACCCCTATTTGGGGTTCATAAGATTTTTTTTATTAATTTTTTTTAGTTTTCTTTTTATTAAAAACACATTTTCCTCCGCCAAATAAAATAGCGCCACGTGGCTATGAACCCCAAGTCTCGGGCTCTTAGCTAAGGGGCGGTTCACAACATATTGGCCTATTTTCTATTTTTTTTTTAATTCAACCTGCATATAGATCTGGGTCCTGAACTCCTTAAAAAACCTCAATGGAGATGCTCTAATAGTTCTCGCAGACATGTATATATCGATAACAACGATTCACATGTATACATATATCAGAGCATATCGGATATCTGTCTTTTGAGATTTTTGTATTTGTGATTTGCATTATTTTTTGAAGGATACTAGATTCTAACCCGCCCAAAGGTGGGCGAGCGTAATCTTTGTTGGTTAAAAATAAAAATAAAAAAATATTTAAGTTTTGCACACAAAAAAACAATATTTAAGTCTCTGATAATAATGTTCAGTTCAGTATATAGAGTTTTATGTTATGAACGAAATGATATGTGAAGTTTAAACATCAATGCGTGTGAAATTCATGATATGAAGATATAAATTTTAATTATAGTTTAGCATTCAAGAGAGCATATTATAAATGTAAATATATTAAAGTATATATATTATATATAAACCACAATTTGTTGACAGTTTCAAAGATGTTAAACCATGAAAACCCATCACCTTATCATTTATAGAGTGTAAATGCAATGCAATGACCCAAAAAGCGACTTTAAATGTTGACAACATATGTCCTTTTTCATTCTTCAGTAGTTGGTTTAGACTCTATATTAATCAGACGGATATCAATTATATAAATAACTTTTAGAATTTAAATATAACACAATATTCGAAAAGTGTCTAGTTAATTGTAAAAGGCAGTTCAGTTGAAAATGATTTAAATATGTCAAATACGAAAACAAGTCCAGATCATAAGAAGAATTATGACAAATAAAGAAACACTTGTAGATATCTTAAAACACTGACATTCTCTAATATCTCTTTAATTATCACAAACTGAACATAAATCCATCTCCGAGTTAAACCTACAGAAATAGATATAAGAAGGCTTATTACTAAAATGTATACATCTCGGAGTTAAACCATACAGTGGTTTCTATGAGTATGTGACAAAAATGATGGATCTCTATTAACTCTGGTAAAACCATAATGTGTACATCTACTTGATATGTAAATGTAAGCATCATAATATATACATATGAATAACCTCTTACTTTTTTTTTGAAATCGACAGCCTCATGTATTGGTGGATCAATCAAAAACTGTGAACAACCTGTAAGAGATTGAACACACATTCTCCAATCGTTTTTATCTACATAATATAACATATTTTTCTAAGTAACATATAATGTTTATTTTCAAATAATACAGAATCAGTTTTATTTAATAATAAATTATACTACCAGTTACCTTCCTTAATCACCCAAAATCGAAGAACACATACTGACCGATAAGATCCTATATGCCTCCATTGATCATAAAACTCTTGAGCAATTTCACCAAAGCAAAACATATAATAATACATGCTCTATATCATGAGAAATATGTATAAGTTAGAAAACATGAAGATAAAAAGTATATTAATTACATATCTATAACTAAAAGAAGTAATTCTTACTCTTCGTCCACAATGTCAAAACTCATAGTATCCTCTTCATAGCGAGATAAGAGATTCCCAACGGCAGAGATAGTTCCAACTAATTCTTTATATAAAGATAAATGAAAATGAAAATTTGAAATGGAAGGTCATAAGTGAATTTTTATAAATAGTATTGTTACTAGTCAAAACATTCGGGCCAGTATTCTTCCGCATAATATCAAGAATTATTGCTGCATCCAAAAAGTATCGATCTGTCTTTGGTTGAATATCAAAGATAATGGACCCCTACCTGAGTCTAATGTAGTACTTATTGCGAGTTAGCCTCAGAATTCCTACATTTAGATATACTTTGAAGCCCATAAACAATTTCCAATCTCCTTGTCGAACTCTATCTTCAAGAAAACACACGTCTCGCGTCAAGATCAGAGCAGAAATTTTCACACTCTAAAAATACAGACCATTAGATACAATCTAATAGGGAAAGTTAATATTAAGCAATTACATCTAAGACAACCGATTGTGATACGACTTAACATGTAAACAGTAGTTGTATGATCTAAATATAATTATAATCCTAAAATTAATGTTCTGCATTTGTACCTTATGATCCATGAGTATCATGTGAATACTCTCTCCGCCATCTGAAGGTTGCCTGCAAAGACTCAAAATTTTCGCATCAATAGCCCAATATTGGCCAACGTCACATAAATCATCATCTCTATGGATTCTTGGGTAATCATAATTTTAGTCGAATAGAAGGTGAAAACACTGGATGATTTTTATTTTATTTCAGATGAATACGGCTAGAAAAAGATACAGACGAAGTACTTTAACCTACATGCGTCGTTGGGAAGAGTGTGGAAGATTTAAAGGCAAATAAAATGTATGTTTTGAAAACTCGATTTCTTTTAAAAACAATATTTTGACTGAATTATATTCTTTTGTACAAGATAATATTCTTTCATATAATATCATAATTTTTTATTGATAAAATTTATATGTGTAATAACTTAATTTCAATATTTTTTTCACATGATTCATTATAATTTAAAAAAATCATCATTAAATATTTAAGCTGATAGTAATTTAGATAACAAAATAAAATATGTCTACGGAAATACATAAACCATCATTTTTAAAACAAAAACAAAACTTAAAAAGTTCGAGATATTAAATTCATTACATAAATAGGAATAGGAGGACATATCTCCTTTGATAGAAAAGATGATTTAATTTACTCTGCTTTCCTCTGTACATCTTAGTTTCCTGGTTTGATATTGGCCTTCTTGTCCGCCAGAACGAACATGTTTTACAAATTTTGTAAAGTATATCACCAAACCAAATATAAATTATGATTTTATTTAAAAGTAAAAGAAAACACTTACATGTAACCAAAATCTTGAACTTCAGTAATCTCTGGGTCGAAAAGATATCAAGACTGACCTCCTCCGTTTCTGACAATATTCACCTACAAAGTAAAATATAATTATAATATTAGACACTGTAATATACTTTAGTAGAAGTTCAGATACCAAGTTCAATCATAATAAACACGTGGTTACTAACCTTTATAGACACCAAGTCTCCACTCACTAAACAGAACGAAAATACAATCAGCCTTTCTCGATTTCCATTTATTATCGAAAAAATTGTGTAGTCGTCAAAAGCAAAACATTTGATAACAACATCCGTAAATATAAAAGTAACCAAAACAACTATGAATAATTAGACAAAAATAAAAATTTGCATAACATTTAGAAAAACACTTACTCGAGATCTCTTATATGAAATTCTAGAGATTTCTTTGGCTGGATTATGGAAGTGGACTCAAAATCATTGTCCATCGATATTTCACCAACAAAATCGATCACACCAACCAAGTCTATTAATAAAAAAAATAATAGAAGAGAAAATAACATTATGAGTCCATAACATATAATAGACTAAATATTAGTAAGAACATTTAGAGTAAATATTTTAAATAATTAAAATAAAATATTATCAATAGAAAATGTAGGATCCACTTTTCTTTTCACAATATCTTTGAATTTGATTAAATTCAAGAAAGCCGAATTAGATATCGCCTCTGGTAGTATGTCAAGCTTGGTATCCCGAATTGGATGTGCGTTCCAATTGTTCAAATCTGAAGATCTGACAGTAAAATTACGAATTTCAAACCAATCTCCTTCTTGACATTCTCTACGAAAGTATTCATGGATCCAGTTATGAGCAGAAGCATGAATTTTGCAGCCCTATAAAAAAAAGTTTTTTCAAGTAAATAACAATTACGCTAGTAACTGCTACAGAAAACAAAAAAAAATCATATAGCATAGGCAAAGATGAATTCGATACGATCCCAGCCACTACTGTTTTTCTCAATCCACTTCTTGTAAATCACAACATGTATGACCGAGTTTTCTTCCCATGGTGTGAATTGACTAAGTCATAGTAAGACATATTTAGAGAACTTCGTGTGTTGAGATTTTTGTAGCAATATTCTTTGAGAATGAAGAATTTATTATGAATTATGAAGTCACTGTATAAATAAAAGACAAACAAAATGAATCATCGTCAAAAAGAAAAGGAGCACTTCTTCAAATTAATTTGCTCACCAGTTCAATTTTCTTACTTAATAAAAATTATAATTATTACACCTATCGGTGCAATTAAAGACGTTTGTATACATTGAATACAATATACTTTATTTTGATGTATTAATTCATGTCAAGATTTATTCAAGATATTGTTAAAGTAAAATATATACTTTAATATTATTTTTCCTATGTTATCTCCCAAAAATATAAACAAAAGACTATAATATATATTGTCAGTTAGAGCTGAAAGTAGTTAAAGATTTCCTGTTATTTTGCTATATGATATAATAACCATTTCACAACTAATATTATAAAAATGATCTTGTAAAAACTCTGTACTTTTATTATAAAATAATATATGTCGGATCTGTAACTAAACTTTTGTAAATTAAGATGGTTCATTTTGTAAAATAATCTATATCTATTAATGTGCATGATGTATTGATGTGATAATTCAATACGTGAAGTGGACTTTTCT